CCACTTTGGCAGCCCAGGGTTTGCTGGTTCAGATCCTGGGCACAGACCTACTCACCGCTCACCAAGCCATGCTGAGGCAGTGTCCCACATAGAAGAACTAGAAGGACCTACAACTAGGATATACAACTATGTACTGGGGGCTTTGGGGAGAAAAAAGAAAAAAAGAGGAAGATTGGCAACAGATGTTAGCTCAGGGCCAATCTTTCTCAAAAAAAAAAAAAGAACTCATACAACTCAATAGCAAAAAAACAAACAATCCAATTTAAAAATGGGCAGAGGAACTGAATAGACATTTTTCCAAAGAAGACATACAGATGGACAACAGGTATATCAAAAGATGCTCAACATCACTAAACATCAGGAAATACAAATCAAAATCACAATGAGATATCCCTTCACACCCATTAGAATGGCCATCATCAAAAAGGCAAGCAGTAACAAGCAATGACAAGGATGTTAAGAAAAGGGAACGCTTGTACATTGTTGGTGGGAATGTAAATTGGTCAAGCCCCTATGGAAAACAGTATGAAAATTCCTCAAAACAATTAAAAATATAACTACCCTATGATCCAGCAATTCCACTTCTGGGTATATATCGAAAGGAAGCAAAATCACTATCTCAAAAAGATATCTACACCCTCATGTTCATTGCAGCATTATTGACAATAGCCAAGACATGGAAACAACCTAAGTGTCTATCAATGGATAAATGGATAAAGATGATGTGGTGTATACCTACAATGGAATAGTATTCAGCCATAAAAAACGAGGAAGTCTTACCATTTGTGACAACATGGATGGACCTTGAGGGCATTAAGCTAAACGAAATAAGTCAGAGAAAGACAAATGCTGTATGATCTCACTTATATTCGAAATCTAAAAAAACCAACCTCATAGATACGGAGAACAGATTGGTGGTTGCCAGAACCGGGAGGTGGGGGGGTGGGCAAAATTGGTGAAAGTGGGCAAAAGGAACAAACTACCAGGTATCAGATAAATAAGTTCTGGGGATGTAATGTACGGCATGGTGACTAAAGTTAATAATATTGTACTATATATTTGAAAGTTGCTAAGAGAGTAAATCTTAAAAGTTCTCATCATAAGAAAAAAAAATTTGCAACTATGTGAGGTGACAGATGTTAACCAAACTTGTGGTAATCATTTCACAACATGCACACGTATCAAATCATCATATTATACACCCAAAACTAACACAGTGTTATATGTCAATTATAGCTCGATAAAACTGGAGTGGGGGAGGAATGATTGCTATCAGCATCTGTTGATATAGTGGTACTGCTTCTCTTCTTTTAATTTATTAGAGTAAAAACAATATTGACAGATTTCCTGGTGTTGAACCACTTTTGTATTTGTGAAATAAAACTTCCTTGGCCATAAGATGGTATACATTCAATATCTCGCTGGATTCTATGTGCCAATATTTTTTTTTTTTTAAAGATTTTATTTATTTATTTTTCCCCCAAAGCCCCAGTACATAGTTGTCTGTCATAGCTGCACATCCTTCTAGTTGCTGTATGTGGGACGCGGCCTCAGCATGGCTGGAGGAGTGGTGCCTCGGTGCGCACCCGGGATCCGAACCCGGGCCGCCGGCAGCGGAGCGCACGCACTTAACCGCTAAGCCACGGGGCCGGCCCTGTGCCAATATTTTATTAAGAATTTTTACATCCAGATTTCTTTTGCAGAATTATCAGGCTTGAATTAGTACAGTTATACTGGGATTATAAACGAGTTGGGCTGATTGCCTATCTCTTTTGTGCCTTTTTCAATATCATATAATGATCTCGTCTATTCAAATTTTCTCTTAAGGTCAACTTTGCTAATTTCTTGAGGGGCGAGGTGGGGCCAGGAAGTGATTCATTGCCTCTGTGTTTTCAAAAACATTGCCATAGTCATATGATTCTTTTCATTTCTATGGTCTGTGGTTATCTCCTTTCTCACTCCTAATTTTAACTACTTTTGTTCACTCTCTTTTCCTTAAACAGGATCTCCAAGGGTTTGGCTATTTTCTTTGTCTTTTCAAAAGTAAAGATTTCGATTTTACTTAGTCTTTCTAATGTTTTTGCTTTATATTTCATTAATATTGTTATATTTATTAACTCATCTTCTATGCTTCTCCTGGTTAATTTTGTTGTTCTGTCTCTTTAATAATACTAAATTATTTTATTTTTTATCTGTGTTCTTCACCATTGAAGGCATTTAAGGCTACAATTATGCACTGAGAACAGCTTTTGATGTATTCCATGGGTTTTGGTATATAATAGTCTCCTTTCCATTATATTCTGGAGGGTTTGTAATTTTTTTTTTTAGATTGTTCTTTTCAATCCGAGGATTATCCAGCAACGTTTCTTTATTTCCTAGCAGTTCAGTTTTTGGCCAGCTCTCTATTATTTATTACAATTTCATCGGATTATGATCAGAGACCTTTGGCCATAAAATCTTTATTCTTTTAATTAATTAAGATTCTTTTTATGAATATCACTATGTTGTAAATATTCCACGGACATATGAAAAAGTTTACATTTGCTGTTGAAGAGATTTAAACTTCTTGATTATATTATTTAAGGCCTCTGTGTTCTAACTCAACTTTTATCTGTTAGATCTTCCCAAGTCTGAGAGAAGTTTATCATCATCTCCCACCATATCTGAATTTTGATCATGTTCTTCTTCATTTCTAATAGTTTTACCTTTGTATTTAACACCAGTTGTCTGTTGCATTCAAGTTTATAATTCTCACATTGACTTTTATCTTTATCCCATGTCCTCCCTTTATTCTACTGGTGCTGTTCATCTTAAATGAGAGCTCATTTTGATGATGACCTTGCCTCTCCTGGGAGGGGAGAAAGTAGTCTGTTTGTCCAAGCCGATTTATCACAGAGTCTACTCGCTTAAGGCCCATACTTAAAACTGCTTCATAGGGCAGCCTGCCTCTCAGGTCTAGAATATGGGGGAAACACCAAAAATTTCCCCAACCACATGAAACAAGGCAAGTCATAATGGAGGGGGTTTATGGAAAGGCTATGGTTTTTTTAGAGATACAGTATATTTACACCACATTTCTTCTGTTATTATGGATATTTAAAGAGAAAAGACCGCATGAGTCCGAAGGTTGCTAAGACATGGGCACAAGTGTTGATAATTGTTGAGGGTGGGTGAAGGGCACACAAGACGTTTTGCCTTAGACCACTGTCTCATTGTCCATGCTTCCATGAATGTCTAGACCATTCAAGGGATTTGGATCTCTGTGTGTATTCATTTCCTAGGCTGCCATAACAAAGTGCCACAAACCAAAAGGCTTCCAACAATATAAATGTATTCTCTCACAGTTCTGGAGACCAGAAATTCAACATCCAAGTGTTGGCAGAGCCACAGTCCCTCCAGACCTCTAGAAGAGGATCCTTCCCTGCCTCTTCCAACTTCTGGTAGCCCCTCGCATTCCTTGGCTTGCAGCAGCATCATTCCAATCTCTGCCTCTGTCTTCACATGGCCTTCTCCCTGTATGTCTGTGTCTGTGTCCAAATCTCTCTCTTATGAAGACATCATATTGAATTAAGGCCCACTCAAATGATCTCATCTTAACTTGACTAAATCTGCAAAGACCTTATTTCCAAATAAGGTCACATGCGCAAGTACTTGAGGTTAGGACTTCAATGCATCTTTTCTTGGGGGACATAATTCAACCTGTAACACCATATTACCATGAGATGTTTGTGGAGAAGAAAAACTCACGAACAGGAGATGTATAAGGAAAGGGGCTGATGATGATTTTGTTTGCTGGTAATAATAAAAGATCTTAAGAGCTCTCACTGATTGGCAACCCCAGACTTTTGTTTGTGCTTTCTCAGACCTTGGAACCTCCTTCCCACCCTCACTTAGCTGAGTTGGCCTCCTTTAAAACTCAGGTCCAACAGGAAGAGATCTGGAAGGATATAATGCCAATTGGTCAGCAGTGGCCCCTCCCAAAAGGTAGGCTGAGGAAGGGACAATACCAAGTCTGGCTTCTTCGTTGTTTGTTTTACTTTATATTTTCCGCATTGTTGGAATTTATTCCACTGCGCATGTTTTCCTTTTGGAAATTTTTTTTTAAGGTGTAAAGCAATTATGTCTTTCTTTTAAAATCTCAGCAGAGCCACAGTGAGATACCACCTCACACCCATTGGGATGGCTACTTTAAAAAAAAAAAAAAGAACAGAAAATAACAAGTGTTGACAAGGATGTGGAGGAAAGGGAACGCTTGTGCACTGTTGGTGGGAATTTAAAATGGTTCAGACACTGTGGAAAACAGTATGGCAGTTCCTCAAAAATTTAAAAATAGAACTACCACACGATCCAGCTATTCCAGTTCTGGGTATACACCCAAAAGAATTGAAAGCAGACACTCAAGGAGATATTTGTGCACTCATATTCATAGCAGCATTATTCACAATAGCCAAGAGGTGAAAGCAACCCAAGTGTCCATCAACAGGTGAATGAGTAAACAAAATGTAGTCCACCCACACAATGGAATATTATTCAGGCTTAAAAAGGAAGGAAATTTTGACACATACTACAACATGGATGAACCTTGAGGACGTTGTGCTACGAAAAATACACAAGTCACAAAAAGCCAAATACTGTATGATTCCATTTCTAGGAGTTCCCTAGAGTAATCAAATTCATAGAAACAGAAAATAGAATGCTGGGTGCCAGAGGTTGGGGGAGGGGGAGGGGGAGTTAGTGATTAAGGAGGACAGAGTTTCAGTTTCCGAAGATGAGAAAGTGCTGGAGATGGATGGTGGGGATGGTTGCACGATGATGTGAATGTACTTAAAGCCACTGAACTGTACACTTAAAAATGATTAAGATGGTAAATTTTGTATTATGTGTATTTTACTAAAAGTTTTTTTTTTTTTTTTAATCTCGGCAGATCCATCTACTAAGACAATGGCTATTTTTTATAGAGAGTTTTCAATGTGCCGGTGTATTAGGTAGCTAGAGCTGCCATAACAAAGAACCACAAACTGGATGACTTAAAAAACAGAAATGTATGGTCTCACGGTCCTGGAGGCCAGATGTCTGAGATCAAGGTGTCAGTAAGGTTGGTTCTTTTGAGGGCTGTGAAGGAGAGTCTGTTCTATGCTTCTAGTGGTCTGCTGGCCATCGTTGGTGTTCCTTGGCTTGTGGAAGCATCATCCTGATCTCTGCCTTCATCTTCACCTAGCATTCTCCTCTATGTCTGTGTCCAAATTTCCCCTTTTTTATAAGGAAGCTGTCATACTGGATTAGGAATCCACCTTAGTCCCGTATGACCTCATCTTAACAAATTACCTCTGCAACGACCGTATTTCCACATTCTGAGGTCCTGGGGCTTAGGATTCCAACATGTGAATTGGTGGCTGAGGGTGTGGGTACAATTAACACACAACAGTTGGCCACTTTGCAAACCTTGTCTTATACAAAAGTGACAGCAAACCTGAGATGGGTTTTAGGTTGGGCTATGTGACATAGCAAGTTGAAAATTGCAGTTTTGCAAACCAAAAATTGACACATTCCTAGGATGAGCCACATTAAGAAGGCAAATTGAAAATTGCAGTTTTGCCAATGGCAGTTTTAGGTTGAGCTATATGAAATGGTAAAGTGATCACGTATTGACAAGTTTGTATGGTTCAACATAATCCACCGAGATTCAGAGAGGTTAAGCAATTTCCCCAAGACCACATAGCTTTGGTAGAGTCAGGATTTAAAGCCACGTCTGGCAGATGTCAAAGTCATCTGCCACAAAACCATCCTATTCACTTTGCTTCTTCGTGATGTCTCCTGACCTCTCAGGCTGACCTTCTGTGCGTACAGAACAAACCACTTACCACAGGGCATTTCAACGGACTGTGTAAGCAGCTCTTTCTTATACTCTGCTCTGAGTTCCTTGAAAGACATGGAAACAAGAAGAGAAAACAGAGGTGGCATTTGAGCTGGGGGTAACCCAAAGGTCATCCTCAGAAACTACAAATATGTTACCTTACATGGCAAGAGAAACTTTGCCAGTGTAATTAAATTTAAGGTCTTGAGATGGGGAGATGATTCTGGATTACCCAGGCGGGGCCAATGTCATCGCAAGTTCTTATATGAGGGGGATGGGGGGTCAGAGAAGGAGATGTAATGGCAGAAGTAGAGGTCATAGTCAGAGAGAGATTGGAAGATGCTACACTGCCGGCTTTGAAGATGGAGGAAGGGGCCATGAGCCAAGGAATGCAGGTGGCCTCTCAAAGCTGGAAAAGGCAAGGGAATGGATTCTCACTCTGGAGTCTCCAGAAGGAACACAGCCCTGCTGACACCTTGATTTTAACCCAGCATGACTCATTTCAGACTCTGACCTTCAGAACTATAAGATCATAAACTCGTGTTGTTTTAAGGCACAAAGTTGGTGGTCATTTGTTACAGCAACCCCAGGGAACTCATAGGTGCCCTCTTCTTTGCTGTAGTGGTTGGGGTTCCATTTTCTCACTAGCCTCTCCATCTCTCCCCCTCTCACCTCTCTCTTCAGAGACCTCACTCCCTTCTCTCAAAACTCCGCTGACTTGATCATGCAGAGCACCTGAGTTCTGCCTGTATCGATGCCCAGGGAATTTCACATTTCTCAACAATCATACCAAAGATTATATATCAGGATCCATCAAGAGGTGTTCACAAACAAAATGATCATCACCTATTTCCAGAAATGATTTGTGTCACTCCACTTGAAAGCAAAGGGCCGCTGTCAGGCTCACAAGCCCGGCGATAACAGAAGCAGAGGGTGCTCACCAGTGTGTTCTGAAGTAGAAAATGAGGCTAGGACCAGGTTATGCAGAGCCTCGACTGCCAGGCTAAGAACTGAGGATTTATTGCCCAGGCAAGTGGGAGCCATTGAAGATGTTAGAGGGAGGAGAGACCTGATTGAATTTGCAGTTTTCAAAGGAAACTCTAGGAACCTTCTACATAATTCTCCTCGCCCCAGGACTAGATAAAACTCTCTCCCTCTGCACCCGTTTGACTCCTGGTACTTTCTTTCACAGCACTGTTTACAATTAAACAACTATACGTGGAGATATTTTCTGACTTTCTCTCCATCAAGACCAGGCTGGCCTGTTTTACTTCAGGCATTAGAGTGTCTATGGTTTGACAGGGGAATGAGTGTAATGACAGGGAAGAAAGGATAAATGTTGATAAAAGAAAAGAAGAAAGGAAGACTCAACCTCATTAGTTATCAGGAAAATGCAAATCAAGACCACAATAAAAGACCACTGCATGTCCCCTAGGATGGCTATAATCAAAAAGACAGGTGAGGGGCCAGCCTGGTGGTTTGGCAGTAAAGTTGGCATGCTCTGCTTCGGTGGCCCGGGGTTGGCAGTTTCAGATCCCAGGCGTGGACCAACACACCACTTGTCAAGCCATGCTGTGGCAGCTACCCACATACAAAGTAGAGGAAGATGGGCACAGATGCTAGCCCAGGGCCAATCTTCCTCAGCAAAAAAAGAGGAGGATTGGCAACAGATGTTAGCTCAGGGCTAATCTTCCTCAAAAAAAAAAAACGATAAAAAATTCTGGCAAGGATGGAGAGAAATTGGAACTGTGATGGTTAATTTTGTGTCAACGTGACTGGGTCACACGATGCCCAGATGTCTGGTTAGTCATTATTTCTGGGTATGTCTGGGAGGGTGTTTCTGGAAGAGAATAGCATTTGAATCTGTAGACTAAGAAGAGAGCATCATCCTCCCCAGGAGGGATGGGCATCATCCAACCCATTGAGGGTCTGAATAGAACAGAAGCAGAGGAAGAGAGGGTACCTGCCTTCCTGCCTGTCTACTTGAGCTGGTGCATCAGTCTTCTCCCCTTGGACTGGAATTTACATCATCAACTCCCCTGGTTCCTGCCTTCAAACTTGGACCAGAATTACACCAACAGCTTTTCTCAGTCTCGAGCTTGCAGTTGGCAGATCATGGTATATACTCACATGAGCCAATTCATCATAAAATCTCTCTATAAATATGTATCTCCTATTGGTTCTGTTTCTCTGGAGAACCTTGACTAACACAGGAACCCTCATACATTGCCAGTGGGATTCTAAAATGGCGTAGCCTCTGTGGAAAACAGTCCCGCTGTTCCTCAAAAGTTAAACACAGAGTTACCACATGACCCAGCAATTCTACTTCTAGGTATGTACCCAAGAGAAATGGAAACATATGCCTACACGAAAACTTGTACACAAATGTGCATTGCAACATTATCGCTAATAGCCAAAAATTGAAACAACCTAAATTTCCATCAATGAATGAATAGATAAAAAAAATGTGGTACCTGGATATGATGGAATGTTATTTGGCAGCTAAAGAAATGAAGTATGATAAGTGTTACAACATTAACGAACCTTGAAAATATGATGCTAAGTGAAAGAAGTCAGACACAAAAAGCTACATCTTATATGATTCCATTTATATGAAATGTCCATAATACACAGATCCCTAGAGACAGAAAGTAGACTAGTGGTTGTATTAGAGTTCTCCAAAGAAACAGAATCAGTAGGATGCACAAAAATGTAGGAAAAAAAATTGTTATAAGGAATTCGCTTAAGCAATTATGGAGCCAGACAAGTCCCAAGATCTGCAGTTGGCAAGCTGGAGACCCAGGAGAGCTGAAGGTGTAATTCAGTCTGAAGGCCCACAAGCTCGAGCCACTAGGAAGAGCCAATGTTTCAGTTGAATATGAAGGTAGGGAGAAAAAAAAAGAACATCCCAGCTTGAAACCAGTTAGGCAAGAGCCCTCTCTCACTCAGCCCTTTTGTTCTACTCAAGCCTTCAACTGATTGGATGAGGCCCACCCACATTAAGGAGGGAAATTTTCTTTACTCATTTTACCGATTTGAGTGTCAATCTCATCCAGAAACACCCTCACAGAGACACACACAATAATGTTTGACCAAATACCTGGGCACCCTGTGACCCAGTCAACTTAACACGTAAAAGTAACCACCACAAGTGGTTCTCTAGGGCTGAGGGAGGAGGAATTGGGGAGTAACTGCTGACGGGTACAGGGTTTCTTTTTGGGATGATGAACATGTTCTAAAATTCATTACGGTAATGGATGCATAACTCTGTGAATGCACTAAAAGGCATTGAATTGTACACTTTAAATGGGTGGGTTTTGTGATGTGGTGTGTGAGTTATATCTCAATGAAGCTATACAAAAATAAAAGAGGGAAGGAAGGAAGGAACAGTACTAAAGCCAAAAAGTCCGTGGAAGAGGAACAGAGCACTGGGGAGACAACGGGCAGAGCAGGAGAGAGATGGAACTCAGGTCCCTTGAGGGAAATGGACAACTTTCAAGTCTCCAGCCTGAAGTTCTCATGAAACTCGGTTTCTGAAAGTTGTCCTATAAACTATTTCCCCCACCCATCCTGTCTCCTGAACCGACACCATTTCCCTCCTGTTCCCAGTTCCCTTTCTCAGACCCTGACCTTTCAGCCCAGCCATCAGTCAAGTTCAAACATTTATTTAAGTACAACTAGGTAAAAACTTTACATGCCTTGTGATAATAATAGCAAGACATGCAGCATTATGCTAGTGTTTGACATTTTATGTACATTACCCTCTTTAATCCTCACGACAATCCTACGGGGTGTGTACTTGTATGGTCACTGCCATTTTGCAGAGAAACTGTGGCACAGAGAGGTTAGGTAACTTGCTGGAAGTCACACAGCCAGGAAGGGGGAGAGCTGGGATTCAAACTCAGGCAGTCTGGCTCCACAGTCCATGCCCCACCCCTTACAACAACCCAGTGATTCTGGCACCATTATTTTCCCCATTTTACAGACGAGAAAACAGGCTCAGAGAGGTTTAAAAACTTGTCCACGGTCACCAGCTAGTAACTGACAGTGCTAAGTTTTGAACCCAAGTTCTCTGAGTCCGTGTCTCATGATTTTAATGTTCTGTGCATGCTCTTTTCGGCAGATGATGATAAAAGCCAGAAAGTATGCTAAGCTGAGGAAGAAAAAACAGTATGTCTTTAAAATTTACTGAACGCTGGCTCAAAGATTACGCTGGTGTTTCATTTCGGGGAGCAAAATTGTGCTCAGAGACTGAGACCGTCTTTGCCAGTAGTTGATTCAACACAGGTTCACTGTGGGATTTATAATAGTTTCAAAAGCCAGTAGCATACGGGATAATGCCTCTTAATAAGCGAATAAAGAAATAACATACTGTTAAGCAATGATAGATTAATCACACTATTGTTCCAGGCAAGGAGAGACGAAAGGAATAAAGTCAAATTTAACTGAGATGTACCTTTTTATATGAGGAGGCACTCGGAAGAGACGGCTTAACCAAATGAGGGCTGAAGTCCAGCTGCCAGTACAAAATGAAAGTGAGAAATCCCCTGTTGCTATAGCACATAGCTAGGGAGAGACTGTGCCGACATCGGCGGGCAGACTGATCCCCTTCATGGGGCGAAAGCGTGGTTTCTCCACTACTGATAAAAGGGTCTCCCTTCGCACAGTAGGAGCTAACACCCCAAGGACTTCAGAGAATTTATTTAGGTCAGCAAAGAGTCGCCTGCCCAGATTGAAACTCTCAGATATTCTTCACAAACTCTGGTTATTTATAGTCTAAATTTCCCCTTGCCATAATTTCTTCTTTCCTTGTTCATAGTGACAAGCACCCAGCAGTGTTCAACATCAGCTGGGCTACTGAGTTCTCCTCTATGACAACACATGAAGTGCTGTCATCCCGACACCACTTACTTTGTTCTTATGTCAGAACAATGACTTCTGTCTTGTCATAAACAAGGAGATTCAAACAACTTCACTAAAGTCATAAACAAGTGGATTTGTCATTATATCAAACCAATACACGAGAGTTGGTATGGTTATGTAAACTGAGTTTCTGCAAGACCTTACCAGCCCTAGGACCCAAATGAAACTATTTGAACAAAAATAGCTCAAATTTCCCCAGTGGGGGAGACCGCATCCCTCAGTATGCTACAAGGGCCCATAGAGCCCCCTCATTCTGCATTTCTCGGATTCCGGGGGATTGTCCCGTATTAAGATGCACCTATGGGCAGCGTCGCCTCCTCAGTAAGTACATCAGTATTCAGAGGCACAGCCCTGGAGGAATTAAAACCTGTGGGGCTCAAAGCTATCAGACAGTGGGACCTCCCCCAGTATTGTGGTCTAGCAGAGGGCTGTAGGATCATTCAGTCTTAGTGAAAGCAATTCATCAATTCTTCCTCACATTCTCTCTGTTCCCCATGGGGGTCACACGAGACCCAATGAAGGCAAAAATACATGCTGGTAGACCTGGGGCGGACCCTTCTCTTCTCTCCTCCCACCCCAAGATGATATTACCATTGCATGGTTCTTCCCTCCCTTTGAATTAACTCTATACCTCAAAGAGTCTTCATTATCATTTTGCAAATAGACTCAGATAGATTGTGCCTCATTGCTCAAGAGACAGGCCCAGACATGCCTGGGCTTTCTTTAGAATGAGGTGCCACCTGGACTCACAGGCTCAGATACAGGCCGAAAGTGAAACCAGGGGCCAACTTTCTTCAACTATACTCAGTTAACAGTTGTCTGTTTGCAAAAGCAGTTAGATAACGCATTACTAAAGCCCACCCTATAGATAACATCTCTGATGCTTGGGTCGTCATGGTAATGGGTGCTTAAGTTGTTTTTCAGGAACTGAGAGCTGACTCCTTGTCCTGTTCAGGCTGGTTAAGATCACCGATTCATCAACTGGGCTTGCGTGAAAACTCTACCCTCAGATTGTGTTAACGCCCGCCATTTTGTAAACAAGCATTGTATAAAGAGCCATGAAGCTTGACAGCTTGTGCAGATCATCAATTACCTCACGTCTCCTTACTTCCAATCATCTATCCCCACACTTCAGACGACCCTGACCCTCTGTCCCATAAATATCCCTAGTCTCTATTTTTGGGGAGGTGGATTTGAGACTTGTTCTCCCATCTCCCCACTTGGCTGCCTTTTGAATAAACTGCTTCTCTGCTGCAAACTCGTTGTCTTGGTGATTGGCATACCATGTGGTAGGCAAAGTGAACCTGGTTCAGTAAGAAAAACACACACACAGAACATGCCCTCTCCCTTCTCACACACACACAGACTTTCATAAGACCCTGGGGGGCTTACAGGGTGTGTGATACTTGCCTAATACATATGTGTTACAAAATTTTTCAGCAAGACAAATAACTTAAGATGATGGCTAACTTCATCTAATGTCTCATGAAATTTTCATGGGTAATCTAAACATAATTGTTAAGAACAAGTGAATTAAAGAAATGCAAGTGAGATAAAAGTTTATGAGTAAACTTTCCAACAATGATTATGTTTTATAAAATACGTCTACTTTCAAATAGTTTCCGAAATCTTTTTGGAAACTTGAAACCTTAAAGTTCTACTACATTAAGTTAAATGATGGCTATTCACGGAACATCCAGATAATTTCTCAATAAGGTAATATACTGAAACATTAATTGCTAAATGTAAAATTTTACCTTCTTTTGGCTTCCTATTTGAACTAAAGACTTTGGGGTCTGTTAGTAAACATGTCTTGCACCACACTGAAAAACTGTACTATGAGGAAGCATATGCTTCTAGAAATAATGAAATCTTTGTTTTGTTTTGGGGTATAAAATTATGCTCAGAGACTGAGCCTGTCTTTGCCAGTAGTTGATTTAACCCAGGTTCATGTGGGATTTATAATAGTTTCACAGGCCAATAACATACAGAATAGTGTCTCTTCATAAGCCAACAATGAAATAACATACTCCTAAGCAATGATAGATTAATCACACTATTGTTCCAGGCAAGGGGAGATGAAAGGAATGAAGTCCAAACTTAATCAGGGTGTACCTTTTTATACAAGGAGGCACTTGGGAGAGACGGCGTAACCAAGAACTGAAGTCCAGCTGCCAACGCAACAGGAAAGTGAAAGTCCTTTGTTGCTAGAGCACATTGCTAGGGAAAGATGGTGCTGATGCTGGCAGGCAGGTTGATCTCTTTCATGAGGCTGCTGCAATTTTTGTCATCACTACCAATCAAGGAGTGGCCCTTCGCACAGCAGGAGCTAATACAAAGCCTTCAGAGAGTTTATTTAGGTCAGCAAAAAGTCACCTTGCCCAGACTGAAACTCTTGGATATACCTCACAAACTCTGGTTATTTATAGTCTAAATGTCCCCTTTCCATAATTTCTTCTTCACATGTTCTTACTAATAAGCTCCCAGCAGTGTTCATCACCCGTTGAGCTGCTGGACTCTTATCGACAACAGATGAGATGATGGCGTCCTGACACAACTTTCTTCCTTCATTCTTAACGCCTTTTTTTGTCTTGATCGTAAACCAGTGGATTCATTCAAACTACTTCATGTCAGTCATAAACAAGTGGATTTGAAACTATATCAAATCAAAACACAACAATACTATATACACAAATTTGCCAATCTACAGAATGCTGTTATGTAACAGAGAGCTCATACTTGCTTATTTCCTAGTTTTCACTAGAAATTAAGGTTTCCAAGAGTTAAGAATTCTAGTTAATATATGTAACTAAAACTAGCAGAAATAATTCCCCAAAGAGGGCAGAGGAGAAGATTTTCTCTCCTATACCATACATATCTGACTGGGCACACAGACCTTAATTCTGTCAAGTAAAAAACAAATCCAGTTTTAGTAAGGAGAGACTTTATTCAAAAGGATTCTTGCAAGGGGGAAAAGGAAATATTGAAATAGGTCAGGGGGACAATTGCAAAAGAGAACATTCTGATGATAAAGTCTTCAAGCATCTCAAGAATTAGGCAGAAAAACGGTTTTCCTTTATAGAGAGGAATAAACCGTGCTAGAAAGAATTGAGCTTTCTAGAACTGAGAAAGTGGGATGAAAGGCTGGCATGGTGGGACAGCAGATCAGAGGAAGTTTTACCCTGAGGCCAGCCTGTTCTCGGGAGGGGATGTCTGCTGGCTCAGGGTGAGGGGAGGCCTCAGTTCAGGGGCCTGGAGGAAGGAGAGGAGCTTGACCAAAGTTTGGTTAACAAGCATTTTGTTCCGATTGATCAGTGGGGACAAGCAGTTCAGCTAATCATTTATGAGGCAAAGAACAGGAATTGGGAGAGTCTGGGTCTGTTCTTGTTACAGATAAACAAGAGAGGCATCTGTAAGTCTTATCTTAGTCATACAGGGAAGGACAGCTCCCTGCAGTTAGTAGTTTTTTGGTAAAAAAGAGTAAGGGGATTTCTTAAACTTCTGGTAAAACTCAACATTGCCAACTCATAGCAGCAGACAGATAAGAAAACTTCAAGAACCTGCAAACTGAGTGCCTTGGTTTTCCATTTGATTTATTCATTCTACACATGCTTAATGAGAACCTGCTATGCACTACAATGTGTCTGCTGGGGACACAGTGTGACCTGTATCCCATAACGTTCCCTGTTTTGGCAGTATCAGTCAGGTCCAGCCAGGAAACAAAGAGCACATGTTTAGTAAAGGGACCATGCTTAACACTGTGGACAGGGTTAAGGGAACCCACCAGGAATGGTGTGGAGCACAGCACTAGCCACAGCCCACATTGGGCGAGAGGAGGAAGCAATTACTGGAACCCAAGGAAAATAGCTCTAGTTGTAGAAGGGCCACCGGCGAGGATCTGTAGCCTTTGGTGAAGTGTTCAAGCACAACTTTCAAAACATGAAAACCATCATGGCCATACTAACATAAAATGAACATGTGTCAAAGATTTTATTCAATTCATTCATTTAAGGAGGAACCAGTAAGAGGCTAAGACAGGTTCAAATCGAAGGAATATAATTTACATAGTCAAAGAAGTCCTAAAATGAATTTGCTAATAGACACAAAACTGATTAATGCTTGTACACAAATATCTGGTGTAGCATTATTCATAATAGCCAAAATGTGGAAACAACCCAAATGTCCATTAACTGATGAATAGAGAAACAAAATGTGCTGAAATGTACATCCATACAATGTAGTATTATTCAGGCGTAAAAAGGAAGAAAGTACTGATATACGCTACAATGTGGATGAACCTTGAAAACATTATGTTAAGTGAAAGAAGCCAGATGCAACAGATCACACGGTGTATGATTCCATTCGTATGAAATGCTCAGAACAGGCAAATCTGTGGGGGCAAAAAGTATATTAGTAGTTACCAGGGGCTGGGGGGGGAGTAAGAATAAGGAGGTGACAGCTAAAGGGCATGGAGTTTTTTTGGAGAGGTGATGAAAATATTCTAAAATTGATCATGGTAATGGTTGCACAACTCAGAATATACTAAAAGCCACTGAGTTGTGTACTTTAAATGGTGTGTGAATGTGAATTGTATCTCAATCAAGCTATTACCAAGAAAAAAAAAAACTGGTTAGTCATGTCCTAGAGAGTCAAAGACACATACACACACCCTGTAACTTTTGTCTCTTCTCCTGGAAAGAATCTACATGTTCACATATAGTTTTACAATATCTGGACTCTAATAAAGTAGAAAATAGTTAATTCAACCAGAGGCACATTTTCTACTTATACGACGTTATGAAAAAGAAAAAGCTAAAGAGACAGAAATCATGTCTGAGGCTGCCAGGAACTGGAGGAGGTCTTGAGGAAAACGACGTGAAGGAACTATGCGGGTTGGTGGAAATGCTCCCTGCCTTCATTGTGGTGGTGATTACTCAACTGTAATACATTTGAATACTCAAAAAAACTGTGAAAGAGGGAAGAATAAATAGGCGGAGCACAGAGGATTTTTAGGGCAGTGAAACTATTCTGCATGATACTGTAACGGTGGGTATGTGTCATACATCCGCATAACACCAAGAGTGAACCCTAATATAAACTAAGGACTCTGGGTGATAATGATGTGTCGATGTAGGTCCATGAGTTATGGGAGATGTCAATAGCTGGGGAGGATGTACATGTGACGGGGCAGGGAGTCTATGGGAACTCTGTACTTTCTGCTCAGTTTCGCTATGAATCTAAAATTGCTGTAAAGAAAAAGTTTTTTAAACCATACACCTAAAAAGCATGAATTTCACTGTATGTAAATTAAAGTTCGGTTCATGACTTTTTTGAAAGACGCATTTTTTGAGACGATTCAATAAATTTTGAGTAAGCCTGTTGAGATATACCCCTGAGATCTCTCTAAGAAAGAATTTGCCATTCAGCTGCAAGAAATGCAGTTTGCTGAAAGCTTCCAGCTGTCAACACCTTCAGGATCTGTCCCAGATCTCACTCCTCCTCGGCAGCCCATCCGTGGTAAGCACAGCAAGGGGACCAGGAGTTCTGACCAATGCAGGATTCCTGAATGACTCATCGTCACTTCTGATTTCCACATTGGCTTGGCTGGAACTTGGTCAGATCTGGATTGTAGCCTGAGGTTCTCTCTGCCCAGTCCTGCTTCCTTCCTATTTCCATCTGTGAGTCATGCTCTTCAAATAATTATCTGATGGGCCTGATGCAATTCCAGCATCCACTTCCTTAGAAAACCCAACTGACACACGTGTTAAGCAATGAAACTGAAAGCACATGTGGCTGCCCATCTGCCTTTCTCCAAGTTTTAGGTAACTTTTTCTTAACATAAGGTGACCTGGCAAAGAGGGAGCTAAGAGGAATATATACCCAGCCCTCAATGACCTCCTATCCTCCATCCCTTTCCAGTGCCTCCCACGGACTGAATCCAGCTGGAAGCCAGGGGCAGGAAGGAACCTGTCGATGCTTTCAATAAAGATCTTCCTCCCAGGAGGTGGAGAAGGGGGGAGAGCGCATCTGAAGAGACAAACAGAAAATATCCCCACTCTCAGTGAGCCGAAACATCAACCCGAGAGACAGAGTATATTAAGAGAACTGTAGCTGTTGCAACAGATAAACCCCAAAGTCCCGGTGACTTAACTCAACAGAAGCTTACACTTTGTCCACATAAAATGTAAAACAGGTGTTTCCTGCTTGTCAGGAAGCACTCCTCCAAGCAGTGGCACAAGGATTCAGGCTTCTTCCATGCTGTAGTTCTACCATTCATTGACATGTTCATGCACAAAAAAGGAAAGATGATGAAGGATGATTTTTAGGAGTTTTTATGTGCCAGGTATGGAAGCAAAGCATCTGGCTTCCTCTCAGAGCACATTGACTAGAACTCACCCAACCTAGAGTGAAGGTCACTGGGAAACACAGTCTCAGAGCTGTGTGTGCCCAAGAAGAAAAGGGAACAGCTTTGGCGAACTGCTAGCCAGTCTCTGGGTGGGCAGCAAACAAATTATTATCAAAAATAAACAAATTTTTTAAATGGCAGTTGTAATAAGATTTATAAAGGCATCAGTTCAGAGAGTTATAAGATTATATAACAGAGAGATTTTTTTTTTTTTGCTTACTTTGGGGGCAGAAGTTAAGGAAGGAGTCTTTGAAGAAGTGGCATTTAAGGCAAACACTAAGAATGAACAGGAGTTGGAATTGGCTAGGAGAAGGAGGGGGACAGGTTCATAGGGAGAAAGGAAGGGAGTTCCTGACTACAGGACCAGCAGTAGGCAATAGGTGAGAAGTGGGAAGAAGAAGCCAGAAGCAGATGAGGAAGAGCGAGTGCAAGATCCTTCTGAAGAACTAGGCAGAGACTAGCTCACTCAGGCTGGCAGAGAGAAGTCAAGTCTGCAGGCCCTAACAAGATCTGATTGGACAGGGATCAAGGCTCAAGTCCAAGACTGCCCAGTAGGGTCACACCATGTTGGAAGGTGATTAATTCAGCCAATCAGCTCTTCCCTGGCACACATCCCACTGTCCATGGTTCTGAAGTCTCTTTCCACACAGGACTAGTGATCCCAATCAACAGGTTGGCTACATAGAAATGACCAGTCGTATTAGTCAGCTACTGCTGTGTAACAAATTACCAAAAATTTAGTGGCTTAAAAGAGCACTCAGGTATTATCTCATGATGTCCATAGGTCAGGAGATTGGGCAAGGCTTAGCCGGATTCTATGCTCAGGATTTCACAATTAAGATGTTAACCAATCTGTGTTCTTATCTGAAGTCTTGACGGGGGATGAACCATGTCCATGTTCTTTCACGTTTTGGGCACAATTTAGTTCCTTGCAGTTGAGGTCCCCACTTTCTTGCTCATTGTTGACCAGGGGTCACTCTCAGCTCAAAGATATTCTCAAGTTTCTGCCACGTGATCCCCTCCATCTTCAAAGCCAACAAAGGGACAGGTTGAATCCTTCTCAAGTTCTGAATCTCTCTGGCTTTTGACTTTCTGCATCTCTGACTTCTAGATTCAGATTTAAAGAGCTTGGGTAATTAGCTAAGCCCCCTTGGATAATCTCCTTTTTGATTAACTCAAAGTCAACTAAGCAAAATCCCTTACAATCATGGGAGTGATACAGAAACAACCCAAATATCCATCAACTGGGGAATGGATAACTAAATTTTTCTCTATTCATACAATGAAATGTTATTCAACAATAAAAAAGGAAGGAACTACTGCTACACAGAATGTGGGTAAAACATTATTTTTGTTACCACACAAAGGGCATGATCTGCTTGCCACGAGACAAAAGCCAATCATCAAGAGGCAAGGTGATAGGAGAGAAAGGACTTTTTATTACAGCTTGCTAGCAAGAGGAAAGATGGTTGACTGACGTCTGAAAAAAAAAGCATCTTAAGGGGGCAGAAGCCCTTACAGCAGTTATATAGGTCAGTGGGTTACAGGGGAGGGGGTTAGGAATGCCAACCCTCTGATGTTACAGACTGGGAGTCACCACACCAGATCATTCAGTTTTCATTGATGATGACTATCAGCATAGACTGTCTGTTTGAGGGTCATCACATTCCTAAGGAACTCAAAAGATCAAAGTTATCATCCCATCACAGCTGGGATGGAGGCATATGCATAAGCAGGGTTATAAAATCTACAGAGCAGTTAGATCCCCTGGAGGGTACATATCCAGCTGGGTTAGTTAGTCAGAGATCATTCAAAGTTACAATAGAGTTTCTTTTCTACAATATGGCTTCCCTTATGTCAACCTTGTCTTGAGCCAGTATCACTTCCCCCTCATTCTTTGGTCATCTCTCATTCTTGAGGGATTCGGGGTAACGATCGATCTAGCTACTTCCTGCTCAATTGGGGCATAGGTATGGGTTAGAAGAATGAAATTGCTTATCACTCATCTAGAGATATTCTCTTGTTCCTGGCTTCAAGTTGACATTTTGCATTATAAGAATTTTTGTAGGCTGGCCCGGTGGCACAAGCGGTTAAGTGCGCGCGCTCCACTGTGGTGGCCCGGGGTTCACCAGTTCAGATCCCAGGCGCACACCAACGCACTGCTTGGCAAGCCATGCTGTGGCAGGGTCCCATATAAAGTGGAGGCAGATGGGCACGGATGTTAGCCCAGGGCCAGTCTTCCTCAGCAAAAATAAAAAAAAGGAGGATTGGCAGATGTTAGCACAGGGCTGATCTTCCTCACAAAAAAAAAAAAAGAATTTTTGTACCTTGCTCAACAGTTTCGGAACAACATCTAAAGGCACATTTTATAATCAAGTATCTGACCAGAAGGATAAGACGTATAGACACTCAAATGTTAACACTTCCTGAAAAATAGACCTAATCCCTTGGAGAATCCGAGAAAACAGTCCCGAAAACCAGTCTGGACCTGGTACCTCTGGGGATATCTGCTGATAGGGGGCGTAGGTCATTTCATCTCATTGAACCAGTCTCTTAGTAAAGCCGTGATGCAGGTGGGCTCCCAAAGTTAGGCCTATATTGTATAAGCAAGTAATCAGGTATTTAACAAGCATTTCTAGAGACAAAAAGAAAAACAAGGTTAATGGTGGGAGCAAATCATAAGCCAGTTTCTGAGTTCAGAGGACTGCCAGTCAAGAATATTTTTAGATGTCAGCATCAAAACATCTTTTGCGGCTTAAAATGTCTCTGATGATGTCATCGGGTAATCTCTCTTAAGTTTATATCAAGTCTCCCAGCTCCAATTTGCAAGGCTTCAGGAAAAAGGGCAGGTTCAGTTCTCAGTGATTTCAAATGAAAATGATGGGAAAAAAATCAAAAACATTAGTTTGGAGATTTATAGCCAGATATTTCAGGAGACTAGAAGAATTCAGGATCCAGTCCAGTTAACAGATATAAAACAGAAGCCCCAAAGACAATTATCAGAACTAGATTCTAATATCCATGAATGTGTACTATAGTTTCTATGGAAACATATATTTTTCCCTCCAAAGTCACCCTCATTTTATAAAAGATAGCCAAATTAAAACTAACTGGTTTGCAAAATAAGTTTAGTTTCAATAAAATTGGCCCAATTATTTACAGAAGTGTAGCAAGAATAGCAACTGATCATATAGGCTCTTTTAAATCTGCTTAGCTGGAACTCTTTATAAGGAATCTCAGATTGAACTTTATTTTTTATTTTTTATTTTTTTGCTGAGGAAGACCGGCTCTGAGCTAACATCTATTGCCAATCCTCCTCCTTTTTTTTTTTTCTGCCCCAAAGCCCCAGTAGATAGTTGTATGTTATAGTTGCACATCCTTCTAGTTGCTGTATGTGGGACGTGGCCTCAGCATGGCCGGAGAAGCGGTGCGTCGGTGCACGCCCGGGATCTGAACCCAGGCCGCCAGTAGCGGAGCACGCGCACTTAACCACTAAGCCACGGGGCCGGCCCTCAGATTGAACTTTAAAAGCCTCTTGAAGCCAGGAAAGCCAAGCCAAGGATTTTGTTATCAGACTTCACCTGCAATACCTACAGATTTGGGTGACTTCCTCTCTTTTCAAGGTTCCCCAAAATATTGCGTGGTTACTTGCACCTGCCAGATAAGTGACATTCCTTACTTATCCAGTAAGTGCTGCTTTGAGTGCTGAACATAAGGTACCAGGCCAATATTTCCACATGGCTTTATTCCATAAATTCCAATCTTTGTCTCTCATAAGCTGTCTTGTCATATCTGAGTCTGTATGTTTTTCTCAAATATGATGGTCTGGTCAAAGCTTTCGTAATATAACCAATGTTTCCAGTTATAAGGAAAACAGATTCTTATTGAACTTAAGTGAATAACTATATTGCCGTGAAAATAACAATACTCACTCACTAAGAGTTTCCAAATTCTGTAGGGATCAGGTAGGGAGAAAAAGATAAATGTTTCAATTCTGCTTACAAACGTATAATTTACCAAATTGTCATAAGTCATAGATAGCTCGGGAGAAAAGAGAAAAAGTTTTCCTTAAATCTGAAAAAACAAAAGAAAAAAAATCAGCAATATTTCAAACAAAAGTCATAAAAATTATAATCATCCTCATCAGTTTATTCAGTCAATGTAGTCAATTCTTGATCTTAATTTTGTTAGCAGTTTCACAAAGTCATCAGTTTCTCAGTCAGAATTCTGTAATTTCTTGCCCAGTTCAGTTTTATGATCTGAAAGTTTACCAGAAACCTGTATTCTAGAGTAAGCACGAGTCCTTTCCATGAACTTCTCTGAAGATGAAACATATTTTTCAAAAGCATCAGAGTGAAGAAATAACTCTCTGTAAACTACAAGACCCCAAAATGGCAATTGACAAAGAAATTTGGTTAATTTTATGACATACAACACTTTAAAATAATAACCATAACCGGACTGATAACTAGGACAGATCGGAATTTCAGTAATGTTATACAATTTCAAAATGCCTATATCAATAACATTCACCAGCACAATCTCATAGGTCCCCATGAAACAATGCTTAGCTGTCCATTTAACCATGGTGACAACCAAAGATCTTGAAGGCGGACGGAGAGACCCAAATAGTTTTAAAAACTCAGAGAGACCTCAGTCTTTTTGAACATAGGAAATTACTTTAACATAACATAGCTTTTCTGTCTTTTAGGTAGACTTACTCAAAGGTAAAGAAAAACCTTTTAGAACCTCTTTATCAAGTTCGAGGAAATTACCCTTTTAAGAGAAAGAAGACCAAATTTTAATTTCGTACCAGCTTACTTCTGATATTAAAAAGTATTCACTGAACTAAATTCATTCCAATCTTAGCCAACTTGACCACGCATAAAACTCTCTCCTCAGAGTTCCTCTTCCACAAACCTTCTATAACTTTCCTTGTATACAAAGCTGTTTTCCTTATTAATTTTTAGTAGCTTTAATTACATATATTAATTAGAATTTTCTAACCCTTACAGACCTTAATAAAAACTAAAAATTAAGCAATTATGAACTGTCTTTTGTATCAGTATTCTAAACACTTTTCATAATTTCTAGAAACATGCTACTTCATAGTAATAAAACACAAGGCATGTTTACTAATAGACCCACACACACACTTTTTAGTTTCTCTGTAATAAGAAGCCAAAGGTAGATAAACTTAGATATGTTTAGCGATAATGTTTCAGTACTTTATCTTACTTGAAAATGAGCAAATTTTTATCATTTAACTCAATTTGGCAAAAACTCTAAAGTTTTAAGTTACCAAAAAGAATTTAGAAGCTGTTCTTTCAAGTATATAGACCATAAAACATAATTATTGTACCCAAAAACTCTTACTCATTTTTCCTCTATCTAAATCATTTGTTGTTGTTGTTTTTGTTTTTTTGTTTTTTATTTTTTTTGTGAGGAAGATTGGCCCTGAGCTAACATCCATGCCCATCTTCCTCTACTTTATGTGGGATGCCGCCACAGCATGGCTTGACAAGTGGTGCGTTGGTCCACCCCCAGGATCCAAACCTGCGAACCCCAGGCCGCCGAAGCGGAGTGTGCAAACTTAACCACTATGCCACCAGGCCGGCCCCTAAATCACTTGTTTTTCAATCAAACCAACAAACTTAAACCAGCTTTCAGTTACCAAAGATTAATTTATATCATGTTAACTTGAAACACATTTGGGTTAATTTCTACTACATTTAGAATTTATGTAAGCACTTACTTTAAGCCAATCAATGAGAGCTCTTAATTTTGACCATACCATCCAGAGACAAAATATCACACATATGTAACATACATGTAGACACACGTACACTGAGTATCCATAGCTATAGTTGTAAAAATACTGCCATGAATCAGGTACAGTAACACAAAGCTCCCTAGTTACGAATCCAAATTTTGTTTTAAGCCTTTCTACTAACATTTGTGGAGAAGACACTCAAGATACT